AAACTATAACAAAAGTAACAATAAAAAATAATGTTAAAATAAAATATGAGTAACAACATAAAAATATAAATAGAAGCAGACAAAGTATCCTTAATTTTTAGACCCAACAAAGTCTGAAGAAAGGGTTGATGTTTAGTTAATTTTATACATATGTTGACCTTTACATTTAAATGTCTTTAAATAAAAACAAAAATTCTGTCGAGTTCTTAAAATTGCTTGCACGTCCTAATTTCCTCCTAAATGCTTGACCAAAAATTTACAGACGAGCTTATTCTAATCTGCAGATTCAAACATTCGAGCCCGACGACGAGACCAAAGGCTCCCATAAAACATTTAATCAATAAAAACTTTGACCCCTTTAATCAGTTTAGTGTTTATTTTTCTTAATGTTTTCTGAGTCAACATACTCTGAAACTAGATGAAAATGTAGTTTTTGATAAAACAGAATTATGAATATTTCACAATATTCAATGCCAAACATCTAAACACTTAAAAAATTATCAATGTATAAAGTAAAAGTATGTTTCAATCAAAAACATATATCTAAATTACTATTTAAACAATGAATTTCAAAATAAAAACACTATTCATAAAATAGCAGTATATTATAAACAGTTTGAAAAACAAAGTATAATAATATGATAAAATTTACATATTTAATTTTTAATTACCATCGCCGTGGGTTTTCCGGCATTGACGCGTTTTTCGGCCGACTGCAGCTGCGACGAAATTCCACGAAGAATGACGTGTCTCAAAATACAACCGTGCTCTCCGTGCGAGAACGTCTTTGCACTTCTGCATAACAAAGAAACAAATGTATGCATTATTAAAAATGGTAATTCTAAAATAACTCTAGAATGTTAACAACAAAGTAAATAATATTAAAAAATAAATTTGCTTTAAGGAAACAAAAACAATCACATATTAACTATAAAAATTAAACAAAAACAAGCAACTCCAACAAGTAAATTTTAACGAACCCACAAACATTTTTTGATTCCATTTAATGAATCTTCAGTTCTTAAATACAAAAATTTTTTGTTTTAAGGTTAACATCCACTTCTGTGTTTGTTTTATCCATTTTCTCATGATTTTGTATTTGAATACAGTGTTCTTTTTCTCAAACGTTTTAAACTTTAAAGTTTGCACGTGCCATTTCATTTTTGTGTTCGACGACCGAGGAAGATCCGTTAAACTGGATCGAAAGTGTTTTTGGGTTTATTAAATTTTACTTGCTGGAGTTATACAAGGTGTTGCTCTTGTTTCTAAGTTCTTTCTCCAATTTTTAGTGCTGTTTATTATAAAATTAAGTTTGTCACATAAGAATTTACTCACTAAACAGAAAATCATGTTCTACATTGCAATGAGAAGAGTTAATAAAATAGCTTAAGTATGAGTAGCTGTTGAGAAAGTTTAAATATTTTGAGAATAAATAAAAAAATAATAGTCACTACCACTATACTGGTATACTTCCATAATAAATGCAACCAGACACCTATAACCAGCAAAAAAAAAAAAAAAAACAGATATTTTAACGAAATCTAACCCAATGATGTCTAAAGTCCGTCCAAAAAGTTTAGGTAATTTTACAAAATATTATTTATTGAAAATAATTAATACATTTTAGATTTAATATTTTAACTCTGTGAGCATAAAAATGGTACCCTCTTGGGTGAAAAACAGACTATTCTTGATAAATGGAGTAGAACACTTTGACAAGCAGCTGAATGCACATACACCCAACCAAATAAGTACCTTTACTGTAGATCACGAGGGACCAATAGAACTTATGCCCACTCTACTAAAAGTGAAAATGACTTTAAAAACAACTTAAACAAAAAGTCCAAAATCCAGATCTTATACAAGCAGCACTGCTGAAGAAAATGCTGGACAATAGATATTAGTAGTCTACTATTAATAAGATTATTGCCGATACAAAACAACAGACTGTTTTATTCAGAGAACTTTACACATACAAACTAACCAGAACCAAGTGCTCGGTTCTGACCAATTTGTATGTTTAGAATTCTCTGAATAAAGCAGTCTGTTTGTTTCATATTAAGAGGTCAAAGTAGAATAGTCGATTATTGCCAATATCTGGAACTCCAAACAAATACATATAGACCGGAATACAAGAATTACGCATTCAATTCATAAAAAAGAAAAAACTCATACCGGGTCAACCAGCTCACTGGATATAACAATATTGTTTTTGGAAAGAAAATCAACAATAAATCAAATATTTAGTATACAACATACTCGAGAAAAATATTAAATTCTCAACCGACACACATCCACTCATTAATTTTGGGACAGCATACAACATCACCAATAGGAATAATCTCTATAAAGCAATGCACTAGCTCAAAATTAAGGCAGAAAGTGAAAATAAATGCACAAACTTTATATTGACCTTGAGAATAAACTAGCTTTCTGTTGCAAACATTTCCTATTTACTTCTAAGACCTCCTTCGAGTATATCCCTTCAACTTTCAAAAGAATATAACAAAAAGCTAGTTTATTTGCAAAGCCAATTTAAGGCCGGCGAGTTTATTTTATCTCAAAATTCATAACAAATTCATTAGACTTGCATATAGTTACTTTGGATAACGGATCTCGTAAAATTCAAGTTCCAAATAACCTAGATATAAAAATCGGAGTACAACAGGGTAACGAGGTATCCCGATCCCATTCGATATCGTTCCGGAAAAAGTCGTACTAAAACTGGCTTTCGAGATCCCGTACAATTATTCGCTCACGCCGATAACACGGCATAAATAACCTTCCCGGCCCTCGAGACGGCCGCTAGCAAAACGAATCTTAAGATAAATCAAGAATATCAAGAACAAACAAAATATATTCCGTGACCAAAAAAAAAGCACAACGTACGCTCGCATTTCGAGCTCGGCTCGACAGTTTTCGAACGCCGGAAATCTAGCCGAGCAAAATCCGACAAACTTTACACTAAATTGCATCTTTTTCACATTAATTTTCGAACGGGCACGGACGGGTCACCCACCTCTCCGGTCTCCTCTGTCTGGATTCCGAACTCACGGATATCGCATCTTCGTCTTCGAAGTAATCTTCCTTGGAAGGAAACTCGTCGTCGCCGAGCGAATCCACGTCCGGCTGGAAAACGGTAATTATTTTTATCGGCACCGTAAAAAGTACTCTACGTCGTCGACGTCACTTTGCGGGAAGTTAACGACGGAACGGCCAAATATAATAACCGGCACTGGCGTACGAAACCCGAAAACTTAAAAGGGCGACGGTTTCTCGGGCACCGACGTCCGACACTCACCTCGTTCAAAATACTCTCCAAAGAGGGAGGCATCTCCACCGGGGGAATGTTATATTCTTTGTCGTCCAACTGAAAAAGGAAGGAAACGTCAGTAGGGCAAGATTCGGTCAGGACATTTTTATATACAATACAAACAAAACTTAAAGCTACGATTTAAGAAAGGGAGACCGTCCACTGGCCTCGGCCGTCGGTCTCCCATTCTCCCAGCCCATAAAGTTTTACTACTACTTTTTAAGGGGACGTCGTCTACTCTTATTAACGAATAAGAGGAAAGACAATTTAAATGCCACCATCCAAAGCATATTTTAATGCTCCGCACCGAGTCGCGGATTTATTAAACATTGGCGCGATTAACGTAATTAATAATTTCTTCGGAAGTAAACCCTGGTTCGTAGCGCTTACTTCTTCGATTTCGAAGTTGAGATCGAACTGTCTACTAGAGAAAGAGTAGACGGAGGCCGTTTCCGCGTCCTCCTCCATTTCGTCCGTGGCGGCTCTCCTCCTTCCGGCTACAACGCCCCCTGGCTCGTCGCTCCTTCGGCCACCAGGAAAATTCAAAAACTATTTCAAACAAATTCGGAACCCAGAACTGTAGAGAAGGAGAATATTATTTTTAATAAAAAACGGATTATTAGTAATAAGTATAACTATAAATTTTGGAAAATTTACAAACCAATACTGCTAAAGATGACGTCCAAATAAAGATCGTCCCCCGACGGTGTTGGAAGGAACGACGTTAGAGGGCACTTTTATGGTTCCCCGATGAAAATTTCGTTTGTAAATTTTTTCAAAGGCGAATATTGTGTTAGTAAATTGAAATAAACGTCGGTAATTTATTCCTCATTTTACATCGGAACTCTATGCCAGAAAATATAAGTTTTATAAATGATAAATAAATAACCGTAAGAATTTCTTGGTCGGAAGTTTCGTCGGCCACGATTTTATGAAGAAACTTTTTATCCATCGGTTCGTTGTTGTACGGGAAGACTGTTTTTTCTTAACTTTTTTCGGACTCCGGACACTAAAAGGGTGTTTTAGCCAGCCCATTACGAGTTCGGCCGAATTGCGATCCCGGATTCCCACAATCGTAGGCTACTACCTCGCCCGCTCGACGGGAAAGCTCTTAGATAATATTACTTTTTCAGACGATGCGCTAGTACCGGTATCTTCCGGTGGCGGTGTAAAAAATTATCTCGTTTCTACGCCGGCGCGAAGCGGTTTATCCGGTCAATTTACTTCGGACGTTCTTCTTCGACGTCTTTCTTTGCGGAACACCAGTAGCGTAGCGTAGTGAGGGCGGCAAAATTTCACAATAAATAATAATACGTTGTAAGAATTTGAACCATTTTATTTCATATTTTCGTCCACCTACGACTCGGATCGATTGAAATGGGCACGGAATAGTGTTACCATCCGTCCGGATAGTCCGGGAATGGACTCGCCGTCCGGGGATATCGTGCGCAACCTGTTGACCTTTTTTTTATATATACACCTTCAATATCCAATAGAGCTAGGTCACTGGCGTTACTCCCATCCGAGTCTCCCTAGTCGCTAACTGTAACTGATTTAGAACCGGCACGCGCTGCACATTATTCTTCGCATTGCAAAATGACATACGCACGCGTCGAGAACTTCTACTCGAACCTCACCCGCCGTCCGGGTCAACGATTTTAAAAAGGTGGCGACACTAGCGCGGAATTTTTCGTTACTTATTCTGCGACCAAACTGAATTTTAGTCTTTTAAATCGAGATACCTAAATAAGGGGGCGAAATTTTCCTCCGCCCCGGGCGGCCGACGCCCAGGCCACGCCACTGCGGAATACTAAAAAGTTTTTAAAATTATTTGCATTTCGTGGACACTAAGGAGGTTTCGGACCCCTCCCCGGCCGAGTGCTTATTAATTAAGACCGGATTGGCCGGAACGTAAATACGGCAGAGTCGACGTAAAGGAAGAATTCAAAGTTCGTGGGAAAAAAATCGTACGAGCAGTTACTAGACATTCCAATTAAATTATCGATTGTTTGTCGGAACGGTAAGGCCGAGCGGTCGTACTTTTATAATACGAATACCAAAGGACATTTCATTTTATTTCTTACTAAAAATAATATGCTAAATTTGTTTTAAATTCGTAATAATTATACCGTCGGATTAGTCTTTTGAAGGCTCGACGCGAATTCTCCACCGGAAAATCGAATTTAAAAATGGAATTAGTTCGACATGGGAGAAGGTTTGAAATAAATTTTGCTTTTACAAGTTGGAAATTTAAATAAATTGCATTTTTGTCGGAAAGAAAGATTTCGCCTTCAATCGTTAGCGAAACAAAATTCTAACCGCTACGTAAATTGGGTGTGGAAGACGGATCTTAAAACGGTATACGTTACAAAATGCTAGCCCAAGCCCGGGTTTGACGCGGGAAGATTATATATTAAAGGTAAAGGTAAAAATATGCGTATAGGAGTCGAAGGCTCCCAAGTTTTTGGCAAATACGGAGATCAAAAATCTTTTGGCCAGGCCCCCTGAAATTTCGTTTTTCGTCGTCGCGCGTAAATAAAGGTAAGCAATTTTATAGTGTAATTTAATTTTAAAAAATATATTTTTTACTTAAATAATTTGTAACCCATCTCCACCAACACAAAAATTAGACATTATAACGCGGTGATAAAACCTCGAGCACTTTATGCAGCGGAAGGTATTGCTACTCTTAAAATGGGGAAAATAGAAAATACGGAGAAAAAAGAGAGGAAAATCCTTCGAAAACTTCTGGAGCCGAAAACAGATGAACGTGGTAACTACGGGCTAAGGAGCAATAAAGAGCTCTGTCAAAAAAATCCCGAGACTCTCGGATACAATTCGGAGAAGGCGAGTAAGCTTCTTTGGACATATAAAGAAAATGGGGGAAAATAGGCTAACAAAGCTAATTTTTACGTATTTCGACAACCAAAAGAATAAGAATCAATGGACTAATGACACTCAAAAAGACGCGGCAGAAATGGGCATATCTGAAGATATCCAGAACAGGGAAAGGTTTAGAAATAAAGAACTTCGAGGGTTTTCAGAAAAAGGAAACTAACAGACGTGGAAAAATCTTCACTCGGGAGCAAAGACAACGGCGGAGCGAGAGAATGAAGAGGTATTGGAAAGAAAGGAAGAAGAACAAAGGGAAGGGAAGAGGGAAGAGCGAGTCGTAATTAGTTGTTTGTACGTGGTCCAAAGATGGCCGGAATCGACGCGAAAAGAAGAATTCGTAACCGAAAGTTTCGTCGACTCATTAAGTTATTAAAATAAAAATAATATTTTTTTCGCAATAAATAAGTACAAACCAATTATTATCGAAGTTTATTGCGAGTTATAAAGAAAATAATGTACCGTACAGTACAGTGGTGCCTCGTATAACGTACTTAATCCGTTCCGGGTGTACGTCCGTTAAGTGAAAAGTCCGTTATACGAAACGCATTTTCCCATAGAAATACGTGTTAAAACATGTAATTCGTTTCGCGACATAAAATAACCGTACCATAAAAAAAATTAAAATGGAGCAGTCACCAATTATGCCGGGTGGTCAGATGTTGCGAGGATGAAGTGGAGGAACACTTTCTTTACACATTCATACAGATACAGACTTTTTACACATCGCAGCGGGTCTCTTTTTATCGTTTTTTAATCGGAGTCAGATTCAGGAGAGGTTACCGGAGCTTGCGGGATCATCTCCTGTTGTTCCATTCTTTGTTTTTTGGCAGCTGGCTTCTTGAAAAACACGTCCAAGGTGGTCTGTTTCTCTCTCTTCTTCAATACCTGTCGGAAATGACGGGCAAGGGTGTCATTGTAGAGGTCATTGATCCTGTTGGCCTCGGCTCTGTTTGGATAATGAGTGTTGGTAAACTCCCG